ATACACACTGAGAGAAGAGTTCAAAATGATCGTAGTGTTGATTCCCTAACCTACATAGTCATTCTTGGTTGTTTTGCAAGATCTCACTTTCAATTTGTAGAGTGGATAAAAAAACTCGATTATGCTAACCCAAACAACTACATTATTGCTCGATGAATTTCTTTAAATTATCTAATTTAAAATTTATTAAAAAAAATACAAATACTAAAATTTAATGAAAATAAAAATATAGATATTAAAAGAATATTTTAAATTTTTAACAAAAAAAAAAAAAAAAAAATTGGGAGAGGAAATTTAATGATGAAAGAAAATAAGACAGAAAAGTAATTAGAGCGGAAGGATGCGTCACGTCATGGGTGAGGTTAAGATATATGGACAAAAAGCATGGAAAGGGAGCTTTACTCTCACGTGATACTCACGTGCTTTTTGTGACTTTTTTTCCTCCTTTTTTTCTTCCAATAATTATTATTATTATTTTCACAACTAGGGCGTGAATTTAAATATTAAATATTCATTTCTTATTTCTCATTTTATCCAGTTTATATATAATTTATTTTTTATATTTTTGGTTATTTTATTAATAATTTATCATAATTATATAATATTTATAAGAGAATCTTACATATTTAATTTTTAAAAGATAAATGATTGATGTATGATGATACATGCTTATTTGCTTTTGACATATGATGCTATATGACATATGCATGTGATATTTGTTATAATGTGTAGGAATGAAATGGAATACTATGTATGTCATGTCATGTCTTACCATGTGAAGTTATGTGATGGATTATATGATGATTGTCATGTATACATCAAACATATATGTAATATGTAGTGGATGAAAAGAGAAAGGAAATGATGTTAATGCCATGTTAGTAATGTAAATCATGAAGACCTCATGCATGTGTGCATGTCATATGCATCGAGATACTTCTCCGTTATATTATGTTAGTACGAACGCGTACCTTCGATATTTATGTTCGCCATAATATCATGTTGCTCTTTCTTTTTCTATGGTGTTTGGTGACATGTATTGCATTAAGTCCAACCATGCAAGGCCTAGGAGGTACGTATACGAGCTTGACTTATGGGTCTATGTGCGCGTATGTAGGCCGTGTGTGAAGAAGAAGTACCACACATCCAATCTTGTTTGAAATTGTAAAGAGTCGAAGCCCATGTGACAGTTTTAAGATAGGTTTCAATCATGTTATGTGTGATTACATTTCTAACCCAAACAGTGGTGTCACTTACTAAACATTCCTTAAAATACTCAAGCCACGTGCTACTATCTTATTTTCAAGTAACAGTAGAGCTCCCATGCACAGATGACACTGAACGTTGAAAAGACCATAGTAGACATCACAGATGATAGGGCAGCAATCACATTGAATTTCATTAGTTGTCGATGAGTGTTATTTCATTTTATTCAAGGTTAAAATACTATGTTATCTATATTTTCTTATTTTAAGAGTATTTATTATAAATTTTGGCGTATGTGATTTGAATCATGCACATGGTGATGTCATTAATTAAGGTAAAACAATTAGGGGCGTTACAGAATGCAAGGGTCATTAGGTGTAGAATCCAGATTCCAAATCTTGAACCGGATCTAGACTATGAGACGTTACATATGCATTCTAAACACAAGAATACAAAGAAAGCATAAATTACTCACGGAGAAATTTCATTCAATCTCCTTTTTACGTATCATTTAGTGGGTATTTATAGTTTCCTTACAAAATAAATCTTAGACACTTCAAATGGCCACTGAAAGAAGTTAGTCCTTCCCACTATCTTTCAAATGTGTACTAAAAGAAGTTATTACCAACAAGTTTGGTAACTCGGCTCTTCAATTAGCCACCCTAAGAAGTTACAAACTCAAAATCATCAATCATGTGACAACTTCAGGTTCCATTTCAACCTTGTAAATATTAACTTCCAAAACTTCAAACGATCTCGTAGATAAAGAATAAACATTGGTTGAATCTTCTTGGCTACCGATCATATAATAATCCCGAGTGGTGTTTAATTAGCGTGGAGTGTTATTGAAAATACATTAATGAAACAGTGAAGGGAGAATTCAAATTTGATTAGACTACGTATCTAACACATCGTGTGACCAAACTCCTCAACATTTTCAAACAATATTAATAATAAAGAAAGGGATATCATCTTTTTTTTCTTTTAAATTTAATTCATCCATCTAAATTATTTAAGCCCTCTTCATCAATTAATCTTATTATTATTATTATTATTTTTGGTTATTTTAAGATCATGTTTTTTTTTTCTTTCTCAATTTATTCATGTAAATTAATTTTAAAATATTGTTTATATTTATTATTAAGATGTAATATAAGTAAAAATTACATTTTAATTTTCTTACCAATTTTTTATTAAAAAAATTATCTTAAGCGAATATTATAAAATGGAAGACGTGAAAAATGATTATAACATACCTAAACTGAAATGAGTACAAACGGTTAGGACGGACATATTCTTGAAAAACATATGAATCTACGACAAAAAAAAAAAAAAAAAAAAACACATACGATGAATAAAAAAAAGATAAGATACGTGAAATGGAAACGAAATTATCCAAATTAAAATAAAAAATTTATAAACGGGTAGAAATGAAAGCATGTTTCCCTAAAATTACTTTTTTGAAGACCCACGAAGATCACAATCTAAAAAAAATTATTGCAATTTTGAAAAGCTTCAATCATTTTCAAATGTGAGGTTTGGAATTTTGTCAAACACTTTGGTCTAAAAAAGATTGTCTTTTTATTCTTCATTTGACTCTTATCCTTTTATTGTGTCCATTGCTTTCATTTCAAATTGGTAATACTTTATCATATATTCTAATTTTAAATACATTATTTTTACATGCATTAAATTATTGGTCTCGACTGCAAAAGTGGGTATAATTCATAGACGCTTTCTTTTTCGTAATTAGAAAGTAAAAATTATTTAAGGGTGACAAATTTTTGTATAAGGTGGGGGCGTAGATGTTTGTCTATCCTATTGCAATAATTATTGGATGTAGGTTAAAATATCACCACTAGTCTAATAGGGTCAAATCTAATACTCGTGTGAGCCAATTGTATATTTATTTTAGTAAAATGATTTTAGTATTTCTAACAACAAAGATATCTTTTTACATATTTTAGAAATAGATTTAAGTATTTTAGGAATAGATTGTCTGACTTCTTTAAATACTCATCCACCTTATCTAGGTTTTCATCCCAAGAAATCCTTTAAATACTCATCCACCTTATCTAGGTTTTCATCCCAAGAAATCCAAAGAACAGAGTACAGTAGTTTCTACAAATTGTCTTGTAATATCTTTTCGATTGTTTCTCACAAAGAGTTATGTGGGATTTTTCCAGATTTTGCACGTGTGATACACTTACTGTCTGCTCTTGATTCAATGCACTTCCATTTTAGTGTCCAAGTTGATACTCTTATTTTCTCTCGAACCATAGTAATACTTTTTGTTTAATAATATGGTATCAAAGCAAGATTAGTGTATGTTGTCTAATCTCTTGAAATTCTTAGTATACTTTGTGATTGTAGCTCTATGTGATCTTCCACATTAGAAATGATTTGTTGCTATTATTAGTGAGTAATCTCTGTGTGTCGAAAAAGTTTGTTTAGTATTACTAAGGCATTGCCAGCACGATGGGTGATTTTCAAATAGTTGAAGGAATAAAGAAACTCAACAACAACTACAACACTTAGACAACATGCATGATGTCCTAATTACAAGGATAAGACCTTTGGGAGGTTGTTGGTGGGAGTGAAACTACTCCGTCAGAGGACTCTAATGTCGCTTTGCGCAAATGAGAATCAAAGCAGAAAAAGTAATGTTTGCCTTGAAGATCACAATCGAAGAAGAGATATTAGAGGATATTTGGGATGACAAGACATCAAAAAAAGCATGAGACACGTTCATGATGTTCTCAAAGAAGAACGAGATGCGACTACAACTTCTTTTAAACGAGTTGTTATCAATTTTACAACATGACATGCTGATTGCATGGTACTTTCACAAGAAGTCATAACTAAAAAATGGGAGATATCACATTAAAAGAGTGAAGAAGAAACACTCCATACAAGTGAAAGTCAGAGCAATAATAAGTCATCTATCAAACGTGGATATAAAATGGTGAAAAATGAAGAAACCATCAAGGAAATGCACAACCAAAGAGAGCTCAAAAGGACCACAAGAGTAACTCTCAAGGGAAGAAATTTGAAAGTATTTGCTACAAATGCAAGAAGAAAGGTCACATGTCCACAAATTGTTGGTCTAAGAAAAAGTCAATGTGACATCCTCCAACATCTAGACGGAAGAATGGGATGCAGAGACAATATGTGCCATAGAAGAAGACGAGCTAGCGCTCACTATAATGATGGGATAACATATCAATTACGAGGGTGACTGGATCATTGTTTCATGATGCTCTGACTGACAATCAAAGTGACGCAATGGAAGCAGGGTGGCGCTCTGAGAAGGAAGTATTTTCAGATTTGGACATCACTGAAAAATTCTTCCACAAAAAATAGGGAGCAAACTGTACACATTTGCTAATTAAAGTGCTGATGTGCCTAAAGATCCAAGTGACACTGATGTTGGTGAGCAAGAAGTGACTCAACAATTTAGATAGTAAAAAAAAAAATCCAAAATTTAAATCCACAACGGAGCGAAGACAAGTTAAACAATCAGAAACATATAAAGAAGTATCACAAAGTACGGCTTGGTAGCCACGGGAGGAAGAACTTATAATTTTAAACAAAATAGTATTTCATCGTTGGCTTAATATCGTTTTACATAAAACTAAGGAACCCAAACATGTCTTTTAGCTATCAGCGTTCAGAATCTGTTTCATCTTTTTTCATTTCTTGATACACACAAAAAAGTTATGCTACATTTTTCTTGTTTTTCGTGTCAGCCCACTTACATTTTTAACGATCTCGAGAAAGGGTGAGATCAAGCGGCAGCAAATAATCAATTTCCTTCCAAAACTTAAATATAAAAAGAATATGGCACCTCAGTCGTATAAACAAAGAAATCAAGGCTACGCTACTCGTCTTTGACAATCAAATTCCTAAAAATGGTAAGTGTTACAGAGGTGTCATGCAATAGTTTTTTCGTGTACCTGAGAAGTAATTGATTGAGCACTTACCATGAAAAGCGACATGAGCGAATACTTGGCCATTCGCTGGTTAAAAACAACCTAAACGACAGAACAAATAGGTATTGGGACACTTGTATTTGCTTACTGAGTTTTGGTTAGCTCAACAGGCATCGATTCCAAGGCGGCATATCGGATTCTTCTTCATAAGACCAAGATCCACCTGGTGAAAAACAAGGGCCAAGGGGCAGGGGGGCAAGGCAGATCTTCATTCAGATATGTTATAATGGATTGCCCATAGTTGTGTTAAGACAGAGTATAAGAGGAGGTACCTTGTGGCCGAACAGATCCCGAATGTTATCAACACCATACAAGATCAAGATCATGGTTGGCCTGGTTCAAGGACAAGATGCAACAGAAAATAATGATCATTTATTGTTCATCTAAAACGTACTTTGATTCTAAATATTCTATTCATTTTCAATTCTGCTCCTTCAACTTTTGAAACTCCTAAAGTAATCCTTATAACAGTAAAAACATGCAGGCGGCCACATTTCTGAGACTAAGTTAAAAAAGAATGGTCTTTGGCACATAATAGGACACAAGAACCTTACCTCTCGAGCGAATGACCCCATGCAATAACACGGACATCCTCTGGAAGCCCCATAGGACGTAGCATCTCAGGTCTAAACATTCCTGAATTTCCAACTTCTACCCATTTCTTAAAGCCTTCATGATAACTGACAAATATAATGCATCAAAAATTTGTTGTATAATAAGCAACAGCAATTTCGAAGACATTCAATTGTTTGTCACCTGAAAATCTCCATGCTGGGTTCAGTATATGGATTATAAGCGGGCTTGAAGCGGAGCTTGGACATGCCTGAAATAAAATAGAGCATCAAGTGAATCCATTGTTTCCTTTCAAGTATCACTGGCCACACATTAATTAACCAACATTCTGCTACTAATTTGTCACCTAGACGAGAGAAGAAGTCATACAATACTCCAATCAAGTCTCCAAGAGTAAGTCCTCGATCACATATCAACCCTAAGAACCAGATGCAAATATTTACATACTATACCATAAAGGTGTATTTAGATATACATATAAAAGTTAAGTTTAATTTGATTTGATTGAAAAAATATTATAACTTTGAATTATATAATTATATACATTTACACACTATTTTTAAATCTTAAGAAAAAAAGACGATCTTCTGTTTTTGGAGAAATAAGAGGAAAAATGTAACAAATAAGAGAACGATAAAATAAAAAACATTTTATGTATCGCTTTCGTATCATTTTAAATGTTTTTTTTAATTCATATTTATTTAATGGAATAAACAAAGCATGCTAAATTCGATATAACAACAGGAAAGGGGCAAATTGGAGAAAAAAGTTGAGATGGATTATATTATAACCCAAAAACATATTTGCTAATTCATAAATACCTTCTATCTGGTGAAACTCAGCAAGATGGGTTCTATCTACTGCGTCATTTCTGAAAACACGGTCTATCGAGAAGTACTTTTTGGGAGCAAACGGTTTCTGTGAACAAAGAGAAATTTCAAACAGATCGACCAGATAATTTGGTGGAAAAAAAAATGAAAAACAAAAGTAGGAGATGAAAATTGGAAACTGATAGACCATATGAATCACACTAAGCTAGAAGTAGAACTTAATGGCTTACGAAATAGACCATATGAATCTCTCTGTGATTTTTTATTTATTTATTTAAAATTGATCAGACAAGTAAGTGATTAATATCCCCACTTCAAGAGAAGTCCCTCAATTTTTGGACCTGACATCCATGGGGATTCTAACTCATATAGGAAGTGTAATAGTTCAAGCCCACCGTTAGCAGATATTGTCCTCTTTGGGCTTTTTCTTTCGAGCTTACCCTCAAGGTTCTTAAAACTCTGCTAGGGATAGGTTTCCACACCCTTATAAAGGGTGTTTCGTTCTCCTCCCCAACCGATGTGAGATATCACAATCCATCCCCTTTCAGGACCCAACATCCTCCCTGGCACTCGTAGTCCTTTCTCCAACCGACGTGTGACTCCCACCATATCCACCCCCCTTCGATGCCCAGCGTCCTTACTAGCATACCGCCTCGTGTCTATCCCCCTTTGGGAACAACCTTCTCGCTGGCACATCGCCTAGTGTCTGGCTTTGATACCAATTGTAACGCCCTTAGTTTTTCTTAACCTAATTAGTAATGTTACCTTGCATGCAACGGAAGTTCATATAAAATAACTTTGAAAATAACGACATGTCTTACATAAGTAGTTCAAAACAAGAAATTCAACCTAAAGGAAATCATTAAACAACTAAAACTAGAGAAATTAAATGCAAACGTTTATTATTCAAGACAAAACTCAAACAAAACATCTACTGTCCTATAAAGCTCTCATTCCAACTTCCATAGTCTTCACAACGTCCACCATCAACCGTAAATGGCCACAGGGCCTTGACCGAAGTTTACTCACAATAAGCTAACAACACCGCCTAACTACTTCCTATAAAAACCACATTATATGCTTAGAGCCTTTTCATAACGTAACCTAGCTAAACCTTATATTTAATTATCAAGGTAAGCCCCTAACATTATCTATTTTGGCAATTAAGAGCCAAACCGACCTCAAATGGCTAAAACAAGGGCCATAATGGCTTCAGAAGGGCTGAAAACCTAGGAATCAGTATATTATATGTATACTGAGCTGCCAAGCCGAGTAGCGGGAATTGACGGAGCCGAGGGTACCGAGCTAACAAGCCAAAAGTACAGTTGAAGGCGCACGTTTTATGGGCGCAGATTTTGTATCCACTAGTCATGGGCCGAACGTAAACGCAGCCCGCGATCTTCGTCTAGAATGTGGGTTGAAACAGAGGGCTGTGGGGTTGGCTGTGCGTTTTCACGGGTATACAGAGAAACCCGACCTGCAATCCATCACTTTGTCTTCCTCACCCGAGAACCACGAAGAAACCCTAATCGCGAACTCCCTTTTCTGTTTATTGACGAGACCGAAACCCTCATGTTCGTTCTTGCTGTCGTTTGGTTTATCCCTCCTTGTTATTCAACCCCTCAGAGTTAGTTCGCTCTTACTAGAAAACTCGCTGAAAACTCGAAGCCTCGCGACGTTTTTTGATTTCTCACTTCAAACTCTTCTGTCTTTCTCTCACAAGCGCAACAACGACAATCAAAGGAAAAAAACGACTATTTAGATACCCTAAGGTTTAAGTGTGCGGAACTGAGGAAAATAATACATTTCTATTAACAAAAGAAAATGCCTCACCGAAAATCATGCAATTTCTAGCGAGATTTCATGCATCATCGGGTATTACTTTTTTTTTTTTTGGAAAGTCGTACCGTTACATTACCCTTAAGAAGAGCATTCGTCCTCGAAAGTGTCTGTATCTAGAAACAGCTCTGGGTATTTTTCTCTCATCTCATCCTCTCGTTCCCATGTGGCCTCCTTGACAAATGCAATGTCTCTAGTAAGCCACCAAGTTCTACTACTAGATTATGCCTCTACCCCCAAGGATACAGAAAACCCTAATGCAGTAGTGACAGGTACACTATCGGTTGTTGGTCACCTTGCTTTGACATTGTTTGACTCGGGATCTACGCATTCTTTTATTTCTACGGTTTTTGTTAGTCAAGCAAAAATTGTTTTAAAACCCTTGTTGCATGATTTCTTAGTAGGCACTCAGCATAGGTGGATATGATTGCTGCTTATAAGGTAAAAAATGGTCATGTAATAGTATCAGGGGTTAATTTAGAAGTAGATTTAATGGTAGTTGATATGACCGTATATGATAATTTTGGGGATGGATTTGTTAGCAAAAAATTGTGCTGGCATAGACTATTAGAAGAAAGAAGTGATCTTTACGCCACCGTCCAAGACCAGATTCATATTCAAGGGCATGAGTCTAGGTACTATGCCAAATGTGATATCAATAATGAAAGCAAAGAAGCTGATCTAGCACAAAGCATGAGCAGTACTAGCCAGCACGTGTTCTTAGAAGACTTGCCAATTATCCCTCCATCATGAGATGTCGATTTTGCAATAGAGCTGGAACAAGGTACCAGTCTTATATATAAGGCCTCGTACCGTATGGCAGCTGAGCTGAAGGAACTCAAGACACAACTACAAGAGCTGCTGGATAAAGGATTTATTAGACCTAGCGTTTCTCCTCAGGGTGCGCCTGTGCTATTTGTCAAGAAAAAAGATGGTTCAATGCGCTTGTGCATTGATTATAGGGAGTCGAATAAGAGAACGGTGAAGAACAAGTATCCCCACCCACGCATTAAGAACTTATTTGATCAGCTCAGGGAGGCCACAGCTCGAAATGAGAGAATTTCGGTTTAGGGAGGCCACAACTCAGAGAGAACTATGCCAAGTTCTCAAAGTGTGAATTTTGGTTACGCGAAGTTTGTATGTCAAGTTCTCGAAATGAGACTTCGCGTAACCGAAATGAGACTTCCCCCTGAGGACTTTTAGTTAAGCGAAGTCTCATTTCGAGAATTTGGTATACAAACTTCCTGTAACCAAAACTTACACTTTGAGAATTTGGTATAGTTTATTTTCTCTCAAAATTGTCTGGGCCTTTCTCAAAGTGCATTTGGTGTTCTTGATCCATCTTTGAGTATACCAAGATATTGTTTATGAATACAATGACAAAAGTATCTAGATATTCCTTGAACACTCGATTCATCAGATCCATGAATACTGCGGAGGCATTAGTGAGTCCAAATGACATTATCACGAACTCGTAATGACCATACCTTGTTTTTGGTATGTCCTCATTTTTTATCTTGATCGAGTGGTAACCCGATCGAAGGTCAATTTTTGAAAACATTGTGGCCTTCTGGAGCTGATCGAATAAGTCATTAATGCGTGGGAGGGGATGCTCTATTGCAAAATCAACATCTCGTGACGGAGAGATTCCTGACAAGTCCTCTAGGAACACATTTGGTTATTCATTCATCATGTGGTTAGGAAAGCTTCTTCTTTCTTGGTATCCACAACGCTGGATAGTATTGCCCACGCTCCATGGTAGACCAGCTTCTTTGCTTTCATCATTGATATCAACTTTAGCATAGTACAGACTCGTGCCCTTGAATTTGAATCTGGTCTTGGACGGTGGCTTAAAGATTACTTCTTGTAAAAGTCTATGCTAGCATAATTTTTCGCCAACCAATCCATCCCAAAATTATATCATTATATGATCATATCAACTACCATTAAATCTAAATAGTCTATTTTTTCCCTTGATTATCATTGTTGCGCTTGTGAGAGAGATTTAAACCCTAGGGTATCTAAATAAATAGTCAAACCCTAGGGTATCTAAATAAATAGTCAAACCCTAGGGTATCTAAATAAATAGTCGCTTTCTTCCTAGGGTATCTAAATAAATAGTCGCTTTCTTCCTAGGGTATCTAAATAAATAGTCGCTTTCTTCCTAGGGTATCTAAATAGTCGCTTTCTTCCTAGGGTATCTAAATAGTCGCTTTCTTCCTAGGGTATCTAAATAGTCGCTTTCTTCACTTGATTATCATTGTTGCGCTTGACTTAAACCCTAGGGTATCGAAATAGCCGCTTTTTTCCCTTGATTATCATTGTTGCGCTTGTGAGAGAAAGACAAAAGGATGAAGTGAGAAATCAAAAAATGTCGCGAGGCTTCGAGTTTTCAATGAGTTTTCTTAGGTAAGAGCGAACCAACGTTGTGGTGTTGCATAACAAGGAGGGAAAAACCAAACAGCAACAAGAACGAACGTGAGTGCGTCGATCTCGTCGGTAAATAGAAAAGGAAGTTTGCGATTAGGGTTTCTTCGTCACGTTGATCTCGTAGGTAAACAGAAAAGGGAGTTTGCGATAAGAGTTTCTTCGTGGTTCTCAATTAAGGAAGACGAAGTGACGAATTGCGAGTCAGGTTTCTTCGTATACCTGCGAACACGTACAGCCAACCCCACAGCCCTCTGTTTTGGTCTCTATTCCAACCCACATTCCAGACAAAGACCACAGGCCGCATTTACGTTCGGCCCAAGACCAGCAGATACAAAATCCGTGCCCAAAAGACACACGCCTTCAACTGTACCTTCGGCTTTGTCGGTTTGGCTTTGTCAAATCCCAAGGCAGGCAGCTTGACCTACATATAATATACCGATTCATAGGTTTTTGGCCCTTATGAAGTCATTCCTGATTTTTGTCCCTTATGAAGTCATTCCTGATTTTTGTCCCTTATGAAGTCATTCCTGGTTTTTGGCCCTTATGAAGTCATTCCTGGTTTTTGGCCCTTATGAAGTTAGTATGACTCTTAATTGCCAAAACAGATTACGTTAGGAGCTTATTATAAAGGTAAGGTTTAGCTAGGTTAGTTATGAAAAGGCTACCTATACCGTGATTTTTATAGGAAGCAGTTAAGTGTTGGAGTAAGCTTATCGTGAGTAAACTTCAACCAAGGCCAACGAGGCAAGTGACTTTACTGTTGAAGTTAGGATGTATGATGTTGCATGCATTGTGGCCTTTGCATGCGCCATATTTGTTGTGAAATGTCGATGTTATGTCATGCCTATGTGTTGTTGTATTATCATGAATTGTTTACTACGTATGCATGCAACCTATTACACAGTTTCCATGAAATGAATTGATATGCTATGGAAATCTTACACCATGAAATGAATTGATATGCTATGGAAATCTTACATGCTATGAGTGTGATGGACTGAAGAACATAGCTATACATACACATTGCTTAACTGAGTCATGCTATGGAACGCAAAAAGGAAATGAAACGTAATATATATCATGCAAGGTAAGTCATGGGACCTAATGCATGTTTGTGTGTCATGTGCATGAGGATACTTTCTCGTTATGTTATATTGGTACAAATGCATACGTTCGATGTTATGCTCGCTAAGATATTATGCAGACCTTTTCCTTTTCGTGGTGTCTAGTGACGTGTAATACACTGTTCCCTACCAAGTCAGGCCCAGGGGGTTTGTACACGAGTCAACCTGGTACTACACATCCACCCTACCCGGATAAAGCAAGGGTCCAAGGCCACGTAAAGTGAATGGAAGACAAGTTCCACTCATGTTTTGCATATGTTTTGCATGTGATTTGCATGTGTCTTGTATGTGTATTGTATGTCTAACCCAACAGTGGGATGACTTACTTTCATAAAATACTCTAGCCACATGCTACCTTATTTTTCAAGTAAAGGCAAAGCTCTTATGCACGGTTTAGGGTTTATAGGAGATGTTTTGTTTCAGTTTTATCTTTGTATAATAAACTTTGCATTTAATTTCTCAGTTTTAGTTGTTGAATGATTTCCTTTCAGTTGAATTTCGTGTTTTGAACTACTTATGTAAGACCATGCCGCTATTTTCAAAGTAATATTATATGAACTTCCGCATTATGCCTTATGCATGCAAGGTAACCTAATTAATTAGGTAAAAGAAAAATTAGGGCTGTTACAGGAAGTATGCACATTGGATAAAACGTACTCCACTATTGTTAGTCTCCCCCCTTCTGAATTCTTATTATTCCACTAGTTTCCGGAAATTTTTAAATCTCAAACACCAGAAAGAACACAACCCAAGTAGTGGTTTACATAGAGGTTCTGGAGAAAGGCGCCAGGCTACTGATTCTACGTGGGGGAGGCCTTTTGATACTATTTGATGCCAAGTTTTTTCTTTTGATCTTGAAGACACGACCTGAATTTGGATTGGAATAATAAGACCCACGGCACGCATTATTTATATCAGAAGAAAGACCATGGAAGGAACGCTCTGGAGTTGGTGGAGGTAGACTGTTCATACCTAGAGGCAGTTTGATACTTTTTGATGCTTGGACATTATGACAGTTAATTGTAATAGTGAGTAGTCGTACAGAGTGGGGATCGTAGAGTAGGTTAAAGGCTAAGATAAATATTAGATAAAAAGGGGATGTAGCAAGCTCTTGGTACAGGACTCTCAAACAACCTATGTCCTCATCAATGAAAGGATTTTCTTGCAGTTGTACGAATGTTCAAATGCATAAAAATTCTCCCATTGTTTCTGTATTTAATCATGAATATACTAGCTAAACGGCACTGGTTATATAATATATCAAAGGCTATTTAGAATATGAAAAATCAACCGACTACTTACCCGTGCAAGCAAGTATAACATCCTGGAGGACACAGCAGTTGTATGAGTTCGTAGTAGGTTCTTATTTGCTTCCTCTCTTTTCCAATCATCTCCATATCTAAATAAGGAAAAATAATAAGAATAAACAATTTTTTTTTTTTGAAAAAATAAGTTTCTGAAATACAAAGCAAAGAAAGAAAGGGGGCGTCTTGAAGAACAGATATCACACCCTTTGGATCCATAACCACCATTCTCATGGACCTGCTTCACCCGCTCCACATAATCTTCAGGAAGTTCCTTCGTGCTGGAAGGAGCTAAGATGTAACACCAAAGAACTATTAAGAAAAAAAACCAACCATAAAAACATTTGATATTCAGCAATGCAGTGGAGGAGACCTTGCAAGAAGAAAGTATCATGTGCATCACGGGCAGGGTGTTGTTGGGGTTGGAATAATGCATCAAAGTTCCAGAAGCTGTGCGCACAGATGAGAACGAAAAGCTAATAAGAATATATTAAAATTCTTTGAAGTAGTAGCACTGACATATATTCAGTCAGTTTTAAGGAAACTACGGATGTAAACCTATCATTCTAGAAGGGGAGCCGGGGAGTACTCCTACCTGCTCTCGACAAAGTTATTGGTAGGCATCTCTTCAAACCTGAAATCATAAACCGAAATATAGGCTTATAACGGTAAATTTTTTTGTTTATAATAAAAACTACTAAAAAACATAAACATAAGAGTTACTCACCCCATTTGACGAAAAATATTTTTCAATTGCTGCCGAACCTAAATGTTGAAAAGATGTCCAAGTAATAAAGAGAAATAGACGTTCAGTTTCAGTACATAAATAGATACTGAAGGTATGCATAGGCAAAAGGGGGAACATCAAAGAATAAGGCATCATGCATGTTGACATGAATATTTACAATCTTGCTAATTAGTTTGAGGATTGTTGGAATCTATGAAGTATGATCGGAATATAGTGAGGTCATGTCAACCATCAATCTGCCTCTACCTAAGTTTAAAGCCCAATGAAAGATTGGTTTTGATAATCCTTCTGTATCTATAACAATATAAAATGTGCCATAGAGACTCCCTAGATTAAAGTTCCTCTAAGGGATTCAACCTCATTCTACAAATATAGTTACTTTTGGTTCTTTTGGATAACTTGATCAACTATACAGGCATAATCATCAGCATTCAAAGTACGTCCTTTAAAGGATTTAATGTTAACCAATAAATTTCTTCTAAAAGAAGGATTTCAATTTTTTCAAAATAAATGGAGTATTCTTACCTTGAGCAATGGATGAAGATGACCACACTCAAGGGGCTGACCTTTGGCATTGAAGTTATACTCCTTGAACTCTAGTTCTCTCCAGATGCCCCTGGATATTGCAAAGTATTAATTTATCAGTTTCCAAGTTTTTCAATACAAGATTCACGAACTAGAAAGAAATGAGTAAACTGGACATGATAATTGATGTTTCAGTGGCAATTTCATTCCTCCAACAAATTGAGCAGACATATTTAAGCCTACAATAATTCACAACAGGTAAAAGTGATTGATGACGAAGTAGGAAATGAGAGTTTAATGTTAAACAAAAAAAAAACAAATGTCAAGAATTGGCATTGGACGCATATACCAAAGAGAATAATAAATAAACAAATTACCACCCAAAAAAAAAAAAAAAAAAGAAAGAAAGAAATAGAACCACGTCTAACAGCAGAATGGAGTAAATCGTCAAATAAATTATGTGTTTTTGAAGCTTACTGCCATAAAATAAAATCCATGCATGAAACAACATTAGGAAAATAGAGAACCTCTGAAGATTTTCCCGCGTTAAATCTGTAGCAGCCTTTTTCCTTCTTGGAGCGTAACTAGGACCCTTCTTCACTGAGTAGCCTTTCCACGTTCTAGAAAAAGTCAAAATAGACATTATTAAGATTACAAACAGATAGAAATCTGTATCATGTGCTAGAATAAAGCTTCTTAAAGTATCGAAAACTAAGCCCGGTCTAAAACAGTATGAAAATGTCCAAAACCAATTTTATAAATGCACACATGTATATGTATAAGTACAAGAGAAGATATATTCAGCAATCTAACGAACAATTAACCAAATAAGGAACTGTCAGTGCATCCTCGATGGAAAACCAAATATAGAGGTCCACATGTCTAACAATCAGACAAGAGGAACATAAATTTTTAAAATATGTAATTAAATATCTACTGAATAAAGAAATCGTGAAAAGAGAAGTGGGATAATTACTGAGAACGATTAGCTTTCTTGCTTTGAGAGCCTTCACGTCATCATCATGGATTTCCTAGAGTCAAAATCCGAAATTCTTAGCTGATCTAGACCGAGATATTTAACAAATTATTCAAGAAAAAATATATCAATACGGATAACAGTGATGATGAGGTAGATAGCCAAAACTCCAACCATTTGAAAGATTTTTTTTTTTTTTTCATTACCTCAACAAAAGCAAATATCTATGTAAAAAGCTATTACAATTCACAATCCAAACATCTATTGTACTACAGTCCATTCAATTTAATTGTTTTTATTTTCCTTTTTTTTCTAACAAAAATTGTTGTATTAGTTCAAAACAGTATTACAAAATAGGAGGATGAAACAACCTCCAAACTGGACGGCAGGTTTCTCTCTCTTTAATTTACTTGTATTATGGAGTAAATACAAAAATTTCCACGAACTATAAAATTTTGAAACACTTCGACGGTGCTCTCAAAAGTTTCCTGCAACAAGAGAAAGTTTTCTAGAATGTATATGGAGTTATTATATTGTCAGTTAGGTCTCCTAAGTTTGAAATGCATGCAGGTAAATAGGCTAGACCAAAACCTTAAGAAAACAAAAAATGAAGAAATATTTGCCCTGAAAATAATGAGAAATGTGAATTTAGTTCCCAACATGTGAGTCATTATATCACAACACCCATTATGCAATAGCATCTAAATAGTCAGATACCACTTTCCAAGAAGTCCCAAGTGAACTGATATCAAGCTATTAATCCAAATAATACTTTCCCAACTGCCTTTCAAGAGATACAGTATGACCATAAACAAGAAATGAATGAAACTCATTAATGAAGCTTCAATATCCAAGAATCTGTGTAATACAAAACCAATGAATTATAATCAATGATCACCTTTCCATCTTTTATCTGCAGAAGCAAGTTTTTCACCTAATCATCAACATGTTGAACCTACAGGAAAAATCACTTGTGAATAATCAAAAAGAATGTAAAGGAGCTTTAGTTATAATATCTAAGCAAGAAAGTAATAATGCTTAGAAGCTAATCTGTGTCACATCCAGGTTACGAAGTATAATAGTTATTTCATACAATCAACACCACTTGAGATCATTTTTCTCAACATTTTGACACTGAACACCACAAAGTGCAAGTGACAAACCTTTCTGGATATTACTTGCTTCCCCATTTCAACCCATTTGTTCTTTGCTGCCTGAGCACATCCAATCTTGAAAACAGATAGACCCAACTTTTTCTGCAACAACAGACCAGTTGGTCATTTGCGACAAACAACTACAGCACTAAGATGTACTCAAATCCAAAACTGATGAAAATGAAGGCAAAAAATAAAAGATGAAATGCCTAATTTTGCATCTAAACAGCTCTCACATCATCAAACTCAAATGAAAAGACTACATTGGGATAATCCTCATACTATTCAACGCACCAAACCAAAATGAACAATCATGATGGCAATATCACCTGTAGTTCTATTATTAATGAATTCACAGTTCAATTATTCGTGAAAATATCAAACTATAAGAATATGAAATAACCAAAGACAACAGGTTAATCACGAGAAATACTAGAAACAACTATCCAATTCAACATTAACAACCGTCAGAAACCGGTTGACCAATCAAACGTTATAGCAACAATCATATACAAGAAAACCAATTCACGAGTATTAAAGAAATATTGTCTTAGTCCACCACGCACCAATTGTCAATTGACGCAAAGAACCATACAAATGCGGATTACTCTGCAAGCAATGACAAGTAAAAATCCAGGTAAACCGTCCCTTGCAGCACAAACCAAACTCAAACAAACAGCGTGGACTTTGCTAAACTGGAAATTCATAGTAGCAGAAAGAAGCAGGCGTACTTCAGCATCGACGTATCTGTAGCCGTTGAGACTCTTGATGATGTTGACGAGCTCATTGTGATCGAGTCGAAATTCGTGGGCGAACAGTCCAGAATCGGAGATTTCGACGTTGTTCTCAAGGTAACGGAGAATTGCTTCCTCTACCGTCTTCACGATGGGATTGCGGCCTCTTACTAAAACGCTCACGAAAATATGCTCTCACACAAAAGCCCTGACATGACGACAAAAGCAGTAGAACAGCGTCAGATTCCTCAGTGGCTTGTTGGGCTTTTACAATAGTGTTAACTACATGAACTTATTCCATATAATTTCTCTTATTTTTTGTCTTCAAATTGAGTTGTCAAGTTTTCTTTTTTTTTTTTTTTTGACACATTTGAATGACGTAGAAGTTCAAAAAAATACATGATGAGAATTAATTTTTCGAATTTTTCTTAATTTTATGGAAGCCCATAGTTCCTTCATGTAAGGACTCTTGAATTGTCCATATCAATCAAGAAATATAGTTTTTTTATTATTATTATTGGAATTAGGTTACCAAATTTTGATGGGTTGTTCTTGGAAGAATTTTACCCAACTTCCATGAAGGAAACTGAAATTGAACAGGACCGACGTCGAGGTTTCAAAGACAAGAACAGTTTGTTTATTTGTACACTAAACGGATTAGCACAAGATTAATTTTGTTGAAAAGAGGATTAAAACTAAGTTGATTCAAAGTTATGTATAAAAAGATACAAAAAATAAATGAAGCGAAAAACGGAAAAATCTACAATTTGACCGTCCCTCTCGCTGTTCATCCAATCTACCTCTCACTAATTAAATATCTTCACAAAATCAATATCTGTTCCATACTCAAAAACCATATTCATCTCTGTACTGTTGTTGTTTGGCTCATCTTATTCCTGATACTGAACCGATAACGGGGCATGTGTTTAAGGGATGGAAAATATGAATTCAAGTGACTGATTTTTAGGCGAAATACTAAGAGAGGAGGCCTCCAGCAATGCATATGTTACTTTTTAGAACCCATCGTCCTTTAAGATTGACATTTCCAGCTATAGTCTGATCGTCATATTCTTATCATAATGGATTTCCATTCAGCAAACACATGATGAAAGAGAATAGTATTAAAATTGTTAAAATTATTAACAAATAAACAAAAAGGGCATCAGTTCTCCAAGGTGATGTAGCATCAATGAAATGATTCAGACGCAAATTACCCATTTGTTTATATGAGATTCATCATATGCCCAATCACTCATTCCCATCTAATTCAAATTCAAAATAAAAGGATGTTCTAAAACATGATTGATAAGAAAATCCAAAAGAAAAAAATTACGAAAAACAAAAAAAAATAATCAAATCATATCCAGGTCTGCATTCAGAAAAAGCAAATTACAAGACAGTTGAAAACTTAGAAAAAGAAAAACAGAAGAGAAGAGAAGATTGAAGAGCGATCGGAACCTGTCGGGATTCACTGTAACATCACACTAATTTAGTCAGTGGATTGACAGACATGAATTTCTATCGTCACCTCGCATTTTCAGTTATCAAAACAACAGAATCAAGAAAAAAACAACGAAAACAGCCACAGAAATCAAAGAAAAACCACACAAAAAAAAAAAAAACAAGGAAAAAGAAAGGAAAAGCTCAGAACTTCTTAGAGGATTGTGTAGCTATCACCGACGACCCCTCGTAAGAGGACGGCTATGGCACAGAAATCTTCCTCACAGCTTCAATGTCAAAGAAAAATAGACGATTGAGAAGAACAATTCTCAACGAAAAAAAAAGAATTAAAAGTCGGGCGGAAAACGATGGAGAAAGAAGGAAAGCAAAGGCCTAGGGTTTGATGAGTTGAGGGGAATTGAAGCGAAAGAGGGCCTTTTATAGACCCATTTACCCACCGCTCCCTTTGCCGAAGCCCTAATTCCCTTTTCAATTTTAAACCCTAATTTCCTTGCACATATTTTATTTTCATTTTCGTCCTTCAACTTCTAATTTTATTAATTTAAACCCGCACTTTAAAACTTATTTAATTTCTAATAATAATAATAAAAAAGGTTTAATTTAAATCTTAAGAGTGGAATCAATGGTTCCACTAATTTATTGCATTAGTCTCATCATTATTATATATTATATTGATATTTTTAAGGAGCGTCTTAAATAATTAAATAACAAAATCCTTAAATAATTAAATAACAAAATCCATTATTGAGAGATGTCACATACAAATAAACTAAAAAGTATAAAACTACCATTATAATGATATTAAGGTACATGATTTCATTAGTAAATATTATAATAATAAAATACTTGCCGATTAAGTTGTAAAAACTTGTGTTATTTTAAAATTATAAGAAGCAATGGAGAATAAAATATTTTCCTCAACAATTTTTTACTTCGAATATGGACATAATTGTTATGCACTTTACTTTTTAACTCTATACACAAACATATGCATATGCAGTTCTCAAACGCTCCCCACCTCGAGCGACAGTGGTTTAAGGGAAACTCAAGTTCATAGGTTAAATTAATGTCTCGTTTAAACAAGCCTAAACTAAAATAGTTAATTATTGTCAATTTAAACATAATTCAACCGGTAAAAATCCATATCATCCATTAAAAGGTCAAACATTCAAATCTAGCTCTCACGTGATTGAACTTAGAAAAATAATTATTCATTTGGCTTGTAATTACACGACTAACTCGATAAATATTATTAGCCAAACTACGTAATACTATGGTGTAATAACATGTTAATAACAATAACAAGATGAGAATTAGGAAAGAAGCCAAAAATTACAGAACTGCCAATAGGAATTTGTACAAGAAATTATTCTAACAGAGAAGTAGAAGGAAGAATTAAGAATATGGGTAATTTGAAAAGCAAATTCACAAGACAAAAGCTTTAGAAAGAAGGTGGTGGGAATAACCTGCAAGCATTGTTTCAGAGGGGTGAATTATTTGGACACACTTCAATTTGGGGTTATTTAAAAATGCTACTCACAGAGCAATCGCCATGAACTCGCCAAATGGTTTCACCCAACAGATTTGCTACTGAAAGAACAGTCAACTGAGGGAAGTAGTTCTCTGTGATTGCTGGGATTGTGTTTGTAACTATCACCTCTTGAAACAACCCGCTCGATAACCTCTCGATCGCTGGAGGGCTGCACGGTGATCAACAACATAATAAATGTGCAAAAATCATACAATTTTTAAAGGAATTAATCATATCATATACTGTAACCATGTTATTACCTAAATACAGCATGAGTGCAGCAAGCATAAACTTCCCTAGCACCCTCTTGATGTAAAAGAGCAGCACCTTTTGAAATAGTCCCTGCACCCAGAAAGCAAAAAACAAGAACAAAAATATAAAAGATATATACCAGGTGCAGACAACTTTGCTGTGAATCAGAGTCTAACATAAGAGAACACTTCAAACTTCAAACAAATAAACACTTTTCTTGGAAGTTTAGGGTCAAGAAAATATACATAGCTTTGATCTGTGTTCTTTCTTTTTTTGTTTTAATCATTTTTCAAAAATTGCATCTTAAAAGTAACTATTATACATTTTAACATCCAAAGGTATCCATAACTTCTCACCAGCAGTGTCGATCATGTCATCCACCATGACAGCAACTTTTCCTTTAACGTCACCGATAAGGTTCATCACCTGCAAGGTAAACGGCAAACATTGGCATTTGGATGTGCAAGAAACAACACACAAGGTCCATAAATCCAAGAATGCAACATATCTGTCAAGTAGCCTATAGAATTTCAAAAAGACGTTCAATACTTGGCCTGGATTTCTTTCAATCATGGACCATAATATTGCCACTCTTGAACCTATTGTACCCATCTGCCAATCGAGGACTATATTTTGCTTATGATGTTCCATATTTGCATCTAAAAAAATGTCAGCCTTCTAAAGCTACTAAAGATCATGATTGGTGATTCAAAAGTGAACAACTATGATCTCATCCAATCCTTTTGTTCTAGTTACTATTCATTCTCATTCGGAGTTCAAATAGGAACGAAACCTAAGAGGATGGGAGAATGGTTCTGGAGGATGTTTACCTCCGCAACGTTGTGTGCTTGACGCCTTTTGTCCACAATGGCTAAAGGAGCATCAGATAGCTTTTTGGCAAAAGCACGAGCTCTTGCAACACCGCCAACATCAGGAGAGACCACAACCAGATCATCGTAACAAATTGTCTTGCTGGCAAGATAATCTAGAATCACAGGCTGTTAACCAGATAGAAAATTAATGTTATTACAAACCCAACCAAATATATGGAAGAAGCGAGTTAAATACGAAATACCTCACAGTACACATGATCAACAGGTATATCGAAGTAGCCCATCGACTGTCCAGAATGGAGATCACAAGCAAGAACACGGTTGGCACCTGCTTCTGTTATGAGATTAGCAACAAGTTTGGCTGCAATTGATTCACGACCTTGAGTCTGTGAGGCAAAACAATTCCAACAGATAATTTTACAACCATCAGAGATTAGAATAAAAATGACGGAAAAAATTAGTTATAATCTTCAACATACTATTTTACGTACTCTACTCTTTCATGGTTCCCATTTAAGTTGAAACTCAATCAAGAACATTACTATCGAGATTGCAGCATGTCTATTTACATCATCAATGATTTTCCCGGCGTATCTAAGCCACCTAACTTCGCTTATAGGATCAACAAACTATTCTGAAGATTAAACTTGCCTTTCTGTCAGCTCTGGCATATCCAAAATATGGGATTACTGCAGTGATATTTTTGGCTGACGCCCTCCGACATGCATCTATCATAACAAAAAGCTCCATGAGATTCTCATTTGCAGGAGGGCAAGTGGGCTGTATTATGTAAACATCACATCCTCTCACACTCTCTTTCAACTGGACATAAATTTCTCCATCAGCAAATCGCTTAATGTTAACCTTTGAAAGTTCCAAACCCATATACCTTGAAACTTCCTAAAAATAAGAACCGGAAAGTTAGAAAGCACATCCATGCAAAAATCTGAGATCAGTATAGAAAGAATGGTAGATCAAACCTAAATAATTGGGGAAATTGAAGGCTTCAAATAGTATAAATCAAGTTTCAAATACTGATATGCGATAAAATAAGACCCGCAAAGCGAAACTTTTAGGTGAGCAAGAATCAAGACTTTGAGGTAACCTATCAACAAATATATATTCATAGATCATGTAGTGTACTATGAAGTGAATTCCTTTTAGAATTTTGTTTATTTTCATTATATCAATGAGAATGAAGATAACACTAATGGAACTTGATCGCACACTAATTATTAGATTTAGAAATAACATTCACAAGATGACATGAACTGTACTGGTCAATATTCCATCTTCCCATTTGTCCAAAGGAAAAAAAAAAGTTGAAAAAGAGTGATTCTATCGTTCGATAATAATTGAAGATGACGACATATGAACAATCAAACGAATGACAATTGAAGTACAACAGATTTGGAAATTTAGCGAAAATAAAACCGTAAATCGTTTCAATACAATACTGAGAAACAACACGGAATACAGTTCTACTTACTTGAGACAGAGCAAGATTTGCAGTTCCAGAAAACAATTTTAAACGATTAACGCTTCTGTCAACCGGTCTCCCCATTCTAGCCGATTCCAAGAACTCCGGTAGACTACGCTCATTAAGAATAGGAACAATTGGTTTCCCATTACCATATCTGCCAGATTCAGGCAGACTACACTTCTACACAACACAAAAACCCCAGATAAAAACCACACACAAACACAAATAAACTAATAGAACAAATTAAAATTACGATCCATCCATACACCACACAAGTCGAAATAATCAAAAAATGCAGAGTTGCAGAAATTGTTATTCAAAATAAACCAGAGTGAAACAAGAAGGCAATTATTGGTAGAGAGAAAGAGAGGCGTACGAAGGTGTAACGAGAACAAGTTGGAGAGACAGAGTCGTGGGAGAAGAAATCTCTGCTTCTGCGGGTGATAAAGGAGGCGTGGTACGCGGAGGAGGAAGATACGGCGGAGTAAGCGGAGGATGGACAGGAGGGAAGGACAAGTGAGGCAGCCATGTCCAGCGGCAAAGGGAGGTAGGGCGAAGGAATTAACGCAGTTTTGAGGTTGAGCTGGAGGAGTTTATCTATGGCGATTGTCCCCCGCCATTAATAGAGCTCTGATTTTTGAGTTTGATCTACAAAAATCAAAATGGGAAAATACGTCGTTGGTAGTGGATAGACTAGCGCCGTGTGTGAGTCAGATTTCTAAACCTTATGCCTTTATATTTAATGGTTATTATTTTCTATTTTAATTAATTTTAGTATCGATGATATTTTAACATTCTTCATAATACTTGAACACATACATAGTGCTGGATCTTTGGGTACTATGATATCTTGCATAATCACATCATAGTATCTATCTTGCAGTCTCTCCGTTTTTTGTGCAAAAGACCATAGTTTGATTATACTTTTGATATATCGCATAATTTGTCGAGCCGCATCCAAATGAGGCTTCTTCGTACTCTGCATGTTTCGACTAATGACTCCAACTCTATATTCAAATCCCTTTGGTTGGTTCATGTAAATCTCCAGATGTAACTCTCATTGCATGAAAACTTTTTTATATTCATCTATCATAATTTTCAATCTTTACTTACTGTAAGTACGGGAGGTACTTGTACGATAGTGATGTTCACCATTAGACTAATGTTTCATCACAGTCTAATTCATTCGAGGGACGCTTTATTTTGTAAACCCTTACGTTTTCTAGTCTTGACACATTTTTTCAAGTTTGATTTTTCTCCAACGCTATAAATTATTCCTCCATTGTCTTTTATCAAGCCGTATTTTGTGATTCTTCTCGCTCCGAAAGTCACTTTCTATTGCTCAATACATACTATTGTGTCCCTCGATTTTCTCATGAAACTTGAAGATGGTGAATCAAGGAAGAGCTAGAGATTAGTTTTAATACCTTATTGTGGGTTGTAGCCCAAGTTATAAGCTTTTAAAGTTTGTCGAAAAACTTAAATCTCGTCGGAGAAGAAACTCAGAAACTCGTTATTAGTTTGAACGTTCTAGACACTTTTAGCTCTCAATTCCTTCGTGATCTTCCCCTCAACCGTAAGGATTCATTTTGAAATGATGAAGTCTCATGTATGCCCCTAATTTCTTGATTCTTTCTCTGTACACACAAATTCATGTAAAAACTAAAGCTGGTTAGACAACTTGATAGAAAGGTCTTCAATTGTAACATCTAAGCCCGACAAGAAACTAAATACTCGATTTTCTCTTTTTAAAGTTGAATTTCAAGAATTTTATTGAGTAACTCAAGAAAAATATAAAAGAGAATAGTGAAAATTTTAAAAAGTCAGTCAAAGTCAACCACAAGGCAAAAAAAGGTGGCATGAATTTTGGACCCGATGAATTCTTGTTGTGATTGAGTAAAAATAATTTCTTTCAACACTAGTATTGTTGATATCTATAACAACCTATAGGATATTATTTTCTACCGTACCCTCTAGGACTTTTTCATTTACAGCAACTTACTCACTAGTATATGTTGGTACATTTTTCCCACCTCTCTGATCATTTCACTATATCGTTTAACTATGTTTTGAGACATCTAACCTTCCTTAGTAAAATCATTTTCACGTGTACAGTAGTGTTAAATATCCTAACAACCTCTTTTCATGAGACGACAACACCACAATCATAGTACAAATCATGCTAAATCAAAACATGTTTGAAATCATTGATTCCTCGAGTAGCATTTACATTCCATGCATATTAAATCATAACAATACATGGGAACATCGCTCATTATCTTTCATAGGGCATGCATGACGATGATGGATCGTTTGTTGCAAGGTCATGGAAACATGTTGAGCCTACATCGTAGGCTAATCTATAGAGTTCTGATACAACTGCAACGACCCTATTTTCCTTTCAAAAGAAAGTAGCTACTACATGTATATCCTATCCACTAAGTGCAAAAAAAATTTTTGAAAATAATTTACTAAATTGTTGCCCTCGGTGAGGGCATCTTACCAAAATCAACACTTTAAAGAACTACTCATTTACTTGTCCCTATATGGGAAGGAGTAAATTACATCTTATGGAGTTATATTCCCAGCTCTTCTCCCCGTACACATAAAATGACAAACCCCTCACAAATAGGAATTCATTTCATTCCACATTTAGGATTAAGATCAAGTTGCATAGTATCATCATTTGAAATATTAAACTTCTCAATTAAAGATTTTGTGGTCCAGTATTCTACAAACTAATTGCATGTGATACCCTGACTCACTTGTCTATACATAAACGATTCGAATCAAATAGTTTATAACGATTACAAAGTGAACCGTATCAATAGTGTTACCAAGATAAGACATCAAACCTTATCCATATACTATTGATTATTTAGGTTACTATTTCAACGTGATCCACTCGTATGCTAGTTGCATACTATTCAAGATTACACTAATAACCTTCAATTTCCTTACTGAGGTATAATATTAAATTGTAAATAAAATAATCAAAATTATAATTAAAAATAACTAATTACACTAATTGCATACCATTCATGTGTTGTATCTATGATATGTTATTTCACATTCTATTTGTAAAGTTGAAGAACGAGCTACAATGGAAGGACCCCCTTTCTCTCCTGCTCTTATTTCAAAGGGTTAACTCAATATTTCATACCCTCAAGCTTTCTGGTTGTTCTTCAGTTTGTTCATATTTGTGTTCCAATTTGATGAACTTGTACCACTTAGCACAACCAATGTAAATCACAGAATCAATCACAGTCAAGGCAGCAAGAAGAAAGTAGAACCTGTCCAAATGCCCTTTGTTGAGGTCGCTTGGGATCCAACCAGCCATGTCATCCACCGTTGAAATCTTCATCACCATTGTCACCAACAAGCTGCTAACATAGTTCCCTAACGAGATCGAGCTCATACATAGGGCACTCCCAAAGCTCTTCAGCCCATCCGGTGCTTGTGCATTGAAGAACTCAAGCTGACCCACGTACATGAAAACTTCTGAGGCTCCTATCAATGCATATTGTGGAACTTGCCAAAAGATGCTCAAGGAGCTCGATCCTGATCCTCCACAGTCAGCTTGGGCGTATTTGAGTCTGTAGCACTCAACAATGCCTGCCGAAACCATTGCCATCACGGCGATGATCAGCCCGACCCCCATCCGTTGCAGCTCTGTCAGCCCCTTGGAGCTGGAGTTTTTCAGTTTTCCAATGAATGGATCGAGGATGCGGCGGTAGAGGAAGATGAAGAGGGCGACGCTGAGAATGTCGAAGCTCGACATGCTTGCGGGTGGGATGTGGAAGTTTGAGATGGTGGTTTTCATGGCTGCACCTTTCCCGACGAAGAGCGAGGCCATTTGGGTGAAGACAACTGAGTAGATTATGGTGCAGAGCCAGATTGGGATCAGTCTTAGAATGCATTTTACTTCTTCTACTTGGGTGATTGGGCAGAGGCGCCATGGATTGTTCACTTCTTCCTCACGATCGCTTAAATCCCTCGAAGAGATGTAGGCTGCTTTATCCAAGAACCTGTAATTTTTGCAGAAATGACAAGAAAGAATTAACATACACCCACCATTTGATAATGTTTCCATTCCTCATTTCTGGTTACTTCTTCCTGGTGAAGCCCAGAATGAAAAGTCCAAAGAAAATAATATTGGTTAGCAGTGGACTTGAGCGGTTACAAATGGTATTAGAGTCAAGCACCAAGCAGTGTGCCAACGAAGACGCTGGATCTCCAAGGGAGGTGGATTGTGAGATCCACATCGATTGGAGAAGAGAACGAAACATTCTTTATAAGTGTCTGGAAACCTCTCCCGAGTGGACGTGTTTTAAAACCTTGAGGGAAAGCCTAAAGAGAACAATATTTGCTGGCGGAAGACTTGAGCAATTACAAATGGTATCAGAGCCAAGCACCGAGTGGTGTGCCCGCGAAGGCGTTGGCCCTCGAAGAGAGGTGGATTATGAAATCTCACATTGATTGAAGAGGAGAATGAAATATTCCTTATAAGAATGTGAAAACCTCTCACGCGTCTTAAACTCTCGAGGGTAAACCCAAAGAGGACAATATCTGCTAAGGGTGAGATTGCTTTGTTTGAGTCTAACTCTTTACCGTTTCTCTTATTTCTTTGTTCTTCCTCGTAAACTCCTAAAACGTTTTGTTTTCAAACACTTCTTTGCAAATCTTTGATTTGATTTAAAATCTATGCCTTTTGTTTTTCAATAATTATCCAAATTACCAAAAACATTAAAAAAAAAAAAAAAAAAAAAAAAAAAAAAAAAAAAAAAAAAAAAAAAAAAAAAAAAAAAAAAAAAAAAAAAAAAACTAGATAAACACATTTATTACCATAATTGTTAACTAAAAAATGATTAAAAAAAAGTTATTAGATGAATGGTATAAATTATGAGCTAACTTACCTAGAATTATAATTGATGCAACCCACTTTTCAGATTTTGATTTAATGGCTGGTTGATCATGCCAATCGACTACTCTGTCTAAAGTGAATCTTTCTGTTTCTGCGATTTCTTCTTTCAACGTATTCTACCAATTTCAAAATAAATTATTAGTTACGAAGATTGTGATCGTAATTTTCAGTAGATATTCAAAGTCTGGAACGATAGAACAAAGAAGAAAAGCCAAAATGAGAAGAGAAGTGACCTGATGGTGAAAGGATTGAAGAGCAGCCATGGATGGAGGAGATATGATCCTATAATGCAATGTGATATGAAAGGAGGATGGTTTTTTTGAGAGTATAAATAAGCCCAACAAGAGTGGATCTCATGGTGGAGATTTTGAGAGTAATCAAAGGTGGGACAACCAAACATATTCAGTGCTTTTACTAGCTAGTTGAGGTCATGAAGGCACATGTCTGGTATCTTGATCGGTTGAATTATGCTCAAATTGATATCTCTTACCTATCTAATAGTTCTCAAATCTTCATACTCTAATTATATGCTATCAATACAATTGATAATTGTTTTAACCAGTTGAATTATATACTCAAGTTGATTTCTCTCGTATATTTAATAACTGTCAAATCTTCCTACTCAGGTATATGCTATCAATTTTGTGAAATCTCACGTCACTGAGAGGGGAATGAGTGCCAATGAGGACATTGGACTCTTAGAGGGAGTGGATTATGAGATCTCATATTGGTTGAAGAGGGAAACGAAACATTGTTTATAAGGGTGTGAAAACTTCTTCCTAGCAGACACGTTTTAAAATAGTGAGGCTGACGACGATACATAACAGGCCAAACGGACAATATCTGCTAACGGTAAACTTGGAATGTTACAAATCTAGTTGATAGTTGCTTTTAACTCGTTGAATTATTCTGAAATTGACTTCTCTTATACATTTAATGATTCTCAAATCTTTCCACCCAAGTTATATGCTATTCGTGCTGTTCTTGATTACTTACTAACTTATAATTTTATTTTCTCAAATTGGTTTTAAAATATTTTTCAAAACTTTCTCATATATAGTTTTCTCAATTGGGCCCTCCTCAAATTCCACTAGGTAGGTAATATGATTGTAAGCAATTTAAAATTTAAAAATTTAAAAATTTTAAAAACTCATTTAAAATGAATAAATTAACGCCAATATCCTTTAATCTAAGTTGACGTCATTAACTTCTAATTTTGCCATATGAAAAATGCCTCTATAGATTTGTAGTGCATATAAATTCATTGTGGGATATGATTTTGGATAACTTGATTATATTAATTATATATTGGTTAATAGTCATTGTTATGAAATGTTTGACCTATAAATCAATACCTTGTTATGTTTTTATCGAGGCCTTGGACCCTCTCATGTCAATTTCATATCATTTAAGGATTATATATTGATATCGGGTGTATGATCTAACCTCTGACGCATGGACTAGGGCACAATGTCGGTTACACCCGTGCCGTCCAATATTGTCCTTGAAAAAAATTTTGTTTCAAAGGAAGTCGCTTAAGACACTCGTCTCGTAATACTCACTCTCATTATGACAATTGTATGTGCCAAAGGGTAGCTCAATTAGGCCACAGACCACAAAGGTGGTGGACAGCTGACATCATGTCTCTCAGGTACATTTTGAAGCATTTCCAATTTGATGGATATAGATATGATTTTTGGAAATAGATATGATTTTGGCGAACAGACTATGGTATTGTGGAGAGTTCTTCCAGTGTTTGATTGACATCAAATTTGGGGAGCTTTCATATTTCATAAGAACAAATTTGACTCCACAACCGCATGTTCAAATTTCCTCCAGAACCCCAACTTTCAAGGTTAAGGTCGGGAACCTACTTGATCCTTCAACATGCCTATCTCTGACACTCACGTAGACATCATTGCCTCTATCTTGCTTATGCTACTACTCATCTTTCATGCAAAGCTTTGTGATGTGTTAGAAGATGAACCATCCTCCTCGTTTGCATCATGACATTCGTCATATCTCGGTCCTTTCGTAATCGGTTGGAAAATAAATATTAGTACCCATTTACCAATTTCAAATGTTTTATTGATGGAAATTAGTTAGGTTCGCTAGAGACGAGACGATTAAATTAGAGGGAAGAAAATCTTGAGTTTCAAGCGAGAACTCTTTGGTTTTGGCAAATTTGAAAGATTCAAAGAAGGTGGAGAGTCGAGTTATATAAAGGAGACTTAGAGCTTCAATTTGGTGTTAAGGACTGTCATAAGCCCTATTCTCTAAGACCAAGACCTCTTTTCAAGGTCTTGCTAATAATTTTTAGGCCCGTTAAGTTATATTTAGGTTTAGCAGAAGGCTATATAATGCCATTCTTTCTGCTGTTGAAATCATCAAGCTTTGTGTGCAATATTGTATGCCTTGAGTAAATTTGGTGTTGTGAGTATATTTGTTCCGCTTTCGGCGCACAACAAGTGGTATCAGAGCCAAGTTGTGGTATTTTGGGGTATTGTGAAAGCTTGGGCCTCATCGACCATTAGACGTGCTCACAATCGTGTTTATTCTCTTGAAAATCAATTTTCAAGAATTGTGGTTTTGAGTTTCATCCAGATTAATTATTGCAAATGGCAGAACCATCACGACGTGGATCGAGAGTGTGGAGTTCCAATCTCGAAGTAGAGAAATTTGATGGAACCAATAATTTTGGTGTTTGGCGAGGCGAAGTTAGCGATTTGTTGGTCATGCAAGACCTCGATGTCTCTCTCCAAGAGGAAATGCCTGAAGACATGACAGAAGCAGAATGGACGAAATTAAATCGGCAAGCCTATTCGATCCTGTCTTGGCAAGGATCAGAAATATCCATTTATGAAGGTTACCATGGCGAAAGAACTATGGGACAAGCTTGAAGCGAAATATATGAAGAAGAGTGTGGAAAATAAACTCTATTTGAAGAAGAAACTCTTCCGTTTTGATTACAAGGAAGGCATCTCAATGGCTGAGCATTTGGATGATTTTAACAAAATCATCACTGATTTGTTCAATCTTGATGTTAAGATTGACGATGAGGATAAGGCGTTGTTGTTATTAAACTCTTTGCCGGAATTCTACGAGTTTTTAGTAACGACCCTACTACATGGAATCACTAATATTGATTTTGAAGATGTTTCAAATGCCTTAATAAACAATGAGATGCGAAAGAAGGAAAAGGAGACGTATCAAAGCTCTAGCTCAAATGTTCTCACTGCTCATGGAAGGACTTCCAATTGGAAAAAGAACAAATGTGGAGAGTCTCGATTAAAGTCGAGAGGTAGATCTGATAATTTGAGAAAACTTGATAAAAATGAGTGTGCATATTGTCGACAGAAAGGCCATTGGAAAAAAGATTGTTCGATCTTAAAAGAGAAGGGGTCGAAGTCCAATGTGGTTAGAGATGACGACACTGATACAGATGATGCCTTGACAATCTCCCTATCAGTCAGCCAAACCAGTGAATGGATTCTTGATTCTGGGTGCTCCTATCATATGTGTCCCAACAAAGAGATGTTTTTGGACTTCAAGGAGTTCAATGGTGGAGTTGTCTATATGGGAAATGATAGTACTTGTAAGATAATGGGAATCGGCTCAGTACAAATCAAGATGTTTGATGGAGTTATACGAAAACTCAAAGATGTGAGGTATGTCCCTGACTTGAAGAAAAATTTGATTTCACTTGGCGTTTTGGATGCGAGTGGTTATCGCATCATTTTGGAAGGAGGGAATTTGAAAGTAGCTCGTGGAGCTTTGGTGGCAATTACAGGAACTAGAAGAGGTAGCATATACTACCTCAACGGAACCACAATAATTGGGCATGCTGCTGTGGCAAGTTCGAAAGAACAAGACATATCGAAATTATGGCACATGCGACTCGGGCATGCTGGTGAGAAGGCGCTTCAGACACTGGTGAACCAAGGAGTCCTTAAGGGTGCCACAACTGGAAGAATTGATTTCTGTGAACATTGTATATTTGGCAAACAAAAAAATGTGAAGTTTGGTACAGCTATACACCAAACAAAGGGCATTTTGGATTATGTTCACACTGATGTATGGGGTTCCACAAAGAATGTCTCATTGGGAGGAAAGAGGTGGTTCGTCACCTTTATTGATGACTACTCGAAGAGAGTTTGGATGTATCCCAT